TCGTTGGACAAAGACAATAACCTTCCGAAATATGCCCAACATATTTCTAACTAATGTTTATGATAAATTTAACTTACAAGAAACTGCCACAAGTGGTTACACAGAGGGTCTCACATCTCTATATCCTCCAGGTCTGGTAAAGGGAATCGAAGAATTGCAGCAATGCCAGTCAACTGCCCCAGCTCTGTAATAGATAAAAAAATCATAATATGGTCTCAAATCTCAGAAACATCAAATTAGTACTAATGATATTTCAGGTGTTCTCACGTTCTCCTGACACATGCATAGACGAAAATACATAAGCTTCTCCACCTGAATCTTTAACGGAATTCACCAGATCCACATACTGCTTCCTTGTTTTTATATCAGAATTCCTGCATTCAATTTGATAAGACACCTCCTTAAAGCTGGCATGCTTACTGGACTTTCAGGTTAAAACAACCAAGATGAAAAATGATGAATTCTGATTATGAAAGTTTATTGCAAAATTTACAAATTTTGGAAGCTTTGATGAAAGAATTTTGGATGTCTTCCAGATTTGTCTTTAAGTTCCTTCAAACATAGTAATTCAATTTGAATTTCAGAAAAATTTATCTTGAGATTTATTTCTCAAAAATAAAGGACCTAGTTAAGTGACCAACTGAGCTTATTAGATGGGAGAAGTTACCAGCTGCGCTAAATGCCATAGATCCAGAAATAAATTCATTTTTATGTTTGCTGACTCCTATCCGTCTAGCGAGCAGATCTCTACTCTTGTTAACCTTGAGGAAAGATGAAAGATTTTGAGCAATAATAACTTTTTTCTAAATTTGTGCAGCTAAATCACCTTCCCATTTACTTTTGCAGTGCTCTTTGTCCCATGGGTTGCGAATCAGCACCCTTCAATGTCTCAACTAAATCTGGGTGATAAGCTGGCTGATGAAGAACTTGAAATAGAATTCATATTAAACTAGTTCTTTTTTAATTATTATTATTAGTATTATTAAATATCTTTGACGCTGTCTCACTAGAACTCCTTTTTAATGGCTACATCAGCAATCACCAGCCCCTTATGGAGGAGCATCAACAAAAGCATCCAGAGTCAGAAGTCGCTAATGACTCCCACACCAAATACAGTGAGGTATTTTGTTTTTTTGTTCCACACTCTTTTGAAAGGTTGTTTTTGACCACTCACTTGACCAGCTTGGTTTGACAACCTCCAGAGAAATTTCTAAGATTCTCCCGAGTGTTCTACCAGTTTTAGGTCAGTTTGGTTAAATCTGTACCATCAATCACTTAAGAGTAAAGATGACAATCTTTTTCAAAAAAAGTATAATATATTCGGAAGCACCAACAGAGTTCATAACTCGTATACGAAAGTATTTATTATTTTAACAGTATGTCAATTAAATTCCCAAAATTCTCGCTAGAGTACATCGGATGATCACTTAACAAAAATTCAAAGTCTAGAACCTAAAATCCCTGAATATGTCAGAATTAGATTTATCCCATCGAAAACTCTTCTATTTCTTTCTTTCCAAATAACCCAAAAAGTAGCCAAAGGATGAGTTTTAATCTCTTATCACCTTGGATGCCTCTCCAAGATCATAACTCCTCCTTCCCTTACTGAACCTACCACCACCTGAGTAACAGCCAAAAAATGCTTTCCTGAATTGAGAATTAAAAGAAGAAATCTAAATGATAACTCCTCCAGGTTTACTAAAAAGGTAGGGGCAAATAAAGTGTGTAAACTCAAAGAAACACTTTAAGACTCAAGCAACCTCTCAAGCATGGTTTGGAAAATTTGTGAGAGTAACGCTATCCATGGATGCAAGCAGAGTCAAGGAGATCAAATCATGTTTATAAACACTTAGGTTCAAGAGGAGTTACAGCTCTCCTAATATATGTGGATGATATAATTGCGACAAGTAACAATGAAAAGGAAAAATCAGTCCTCAAACACTATTTACCTAGAGAATTATAGATTAAAGAATTGAGAAAATTAAAATATTTTCTCGAGAAAAAAGTGATCCATTCAATAATTAGAATATTCATATCATAGTAGAAGTATGTCAGTGATCTTTCAAAGAAAATAGGGAAGATGGGAAAACAAAAGAAAATGTTGAAGTTAACAAGGAGATATAGCAAAGACTGGTTGGAAAGATAATATACTTATCACAGACAAGACCAGATATTACTTATGTAGTGAGCGTCATAAGTCAGTTCATGTACAAATCCAAAGAACTACACTTGCAAGCACATAAAGTACTCCACTACTTGAAAGGGACACTAGGAAAATATATTATATTCAAAAGAAATAACATATTAATTCTTGAAGCATACACTAATGCATATTATGTAGGATTAGTTGTTGATAAGAGGTCCATCATTGGCTATTCTACTTTTCTTAAATGGAATATGGTCATGGTGGATAAGCAAAAAACATAATGTTGTAGCCTGATCTAATCCAGAGTCAGAATTTCAGGCGATGATTTAAGAGATATGTGAGCTTTTAAGGTTGAAAATAATCTTGGAAGATTTGAAAATTAAATGGGATGAGATATGAGACTCTACTGTTACAATATATCGACAATCAATATTGCATACAATTTAGTGTGACATAACAGGGCCAAACACATTGAAGTTGTAGACATTTCATTAAGGAAAAATTGGATAGTGGTTTGATATGTATACCATATATGTCCACCACCTCATAACTTGTCGATGTGTTAATTAAAAGGTTGTGTAATCATGGATTTCAAGCAATTATTGCTGGGAATGAAAAAACATCTATTTACTAGCTTGAGGGGCAATGTTGGGAAGTACATATTAAGTGTACTTAACGGGTATATTTGTACAATATCACACATGTAATTAAGTATATGTGTCCTTTATTCATGTGAAGCTATATATATAGGACCCTGGTATTTAATGAAATACACGACATTCTATTTTTCCACAAACCTCAATATATTGAGACTAAAGTTGGCGTGCTCATATTTTATGTTCAGATTCTGGGAATTGTATAACTTGATAATCAGTCTCAGTTCCTCGTTTAACCCACTTATAAACCTTGATATAAAGGTTTCACTTAGAAAGGGGTTGTTTTTTAACATAACAGATCTTAGCTCAGAATGTCTCTTGGTACTCCATGATGGTGCTCTCTCGCTTCAGCTTGTCAATTCTTCTGGAACATCAGGTACAGTTGGATCCCTAATCTCTCACATAGTTCTTCGAATATAGCCCACTCCACTCCACCATTTTGTGCTTGTCGACCTTGATACCAAGTATTAGGTTTTTCTCTAAGGAACAAGACGAAATTTTCTATTTTTTGCTCATTCGGAATCCCATACACTTGGAAATACTTATCTGAGCTCCTTAGCCAAGATCTTGATAGGTCTCTTCAGAGGTAGGAATATCAATCCTGAGTCTTATGGCCTACTTCCAGCATCCTTGGTTCTGGGGTGTGAGTAATACTCCTAGTTATGGTGGAGGAACATAGGAACACAATCCTTGCTACAGAGTGTTGGATGGTGCTGGCAAGTTGTTAATGGAGGGATGCAAGGTTAACATAAAGCACATGGTCTCCACCAGTAGAGTCTGTAATTGGGCCTTGTTTTTTGCCAGCTTAGCTTCCAATTCTGACTCTAGTTTGGCAACCATGGTAGATTTCATTTCATGGAATCTTGTCAGAGTTGCTTGACTCTTTGCATCAAGCCCTCAATCTGGGTCACCTTGCCTGCTCTGCCATACCCCCTTTGCCTTTATTTTTCGCCAGCTTGACAGTGGATGATGTGGTCTCACCAAGGTCATCTTGCTCCGTACTAGTTTGTTGGGAAACTGACAATAGATGTCCTTAGAGGTCTTTAGGTTAAGAAGATATCCATAGAGAATAGGAGGATATGAAAATGATCAATTTGAAAATACTGTGAGAAATAAAATAAGGTATAAAAAAATGTGAGGTTAAGAGAGTAAGAGAGAAGAAAGAAAAGAGAAGGGAGGAAGAGAAAACTTGGGCAATAATACAATGATTCCATTCATGGCCTTTTCAATTATGCCATATAATTATATATACAGCTATTGCTATCAATCATGAGTAAGCAATAACAGTAGTATTTCCTTAGTAAGATGATAGCTATCAGCAGCCTACCAATCATCTTGATAGTATTGTCCTAGTACCATACTACTAAAGAAATAACCTAATCTAACAGTAAATTAATTTGCTAGCTTATTTCTCTGCTGCTTGAGTGGTTCTTGACACACAGCTATCTTGCAAACCATCTATTTTTCTGTTGCACTTTCATCCACCATGATAAAGCTATGCACATGGAAGGGGACTAAATCTGCAAAGGAACATATAAGCATTTGACATCTTGATACCTTGGCTGTGGATTGCATCAGGGAACTTTTTATTTTAAGAGCTTCTGCTTCCCTTTTGCTAGCCTTAGAGACTTCTATCCTGGATCCTATGTTTTTGGTTAAGGGTTATCCTCTTACTTGGGAGGAGAAATTAGGAAGTTTTGTTCATATCTTACTTTTTATAAATTTAGCGGTAATCATGATTCAAACCGAACATTCCTGAGTAAAGAGTATCCCAACAGTAATATCCATGGTGAGTAACCATACCGGTAGATGCTACCTCTTTTTTCATATTTTCTAAAAAAAGATGATCTTGTCAATCTCTATCTTTGTTAATCCCCTGAATTCTTTCTTGTTTCCTCCAGGAAAAAACTAACCTGAAGAGCTCATCTGTAATAAGAAGTGTCTGGACTGCCATCCGTTCATGAGCAACCTCTACATGCTTTGGCCCATAGCATGCTCGAGCTGGATCCTAAATGAAAGAGATGATTGAAGAAAGTAAGTGACAAAATTGAAGGTGGGGAATGGGTGAGAACACCATACGTTTCAAACATAGAACCTGACATTTGAAAGCATGTCAAAAAAGTCCTTGAGAACTTGGATCTGAAAAAGAGAAGAAAACAGAACAGTTTATTACAAAGGTGAGGAGCCAACAAACACAGTACACCTTAATGAATTACAAAAAACCATCAAAATATTCAGTAATTTTAACATCTGCATTTTTTTGCTCAGTTACTAGGTTTAACGTCTATTGCTTATTTTTTTCCAGGTTATTTAAAAAGAAGAGCAGATTAGCAAGGTCTGCCACTAATGTACAAACAATTATTAAAGTTGACCAATATATCAATTAAACCTCCTCCAAGAAGAGAGAATGGCAAATATATATGTATATAATATATATAAATCTAATCAAAAGAGCTCTCATATTCATCTCCTAGGATTTATTCATTTTTTTCAAAGGAAACATTGAAAAGTTCATTAAACTAGAGGCACCAAGGGGGTGCCACCTTCAACAAAACTTTACAAAATAGTGCTACAAGACAAGTTCAATGAGGTCAAGTAAATCAACCTCACTGCTAGTGGGATGACCCTCACACTAAAAACAAAGAGTCCTAAGCCAATTGATGTGAGCATGGATATGAACTATAAAGAAAAGACCCAATCCAAAGAAAGAGAAAAACAAATCCAACAATCCAAGGACACAATGGTACTTACATCTCAGTACAAGTGGAAGAGAAAATCAAGTAAAAAAAAAAAGGGGAAAGCTTTTAAAGAACCAAATCCTGGTTAAAAAGGAAAGATTATGGCCAGCCCTAAACTTCTATTTATTTTCTCCTAATTTTTTTACAATAAATTAAGATCTTCTCTATTAAAAAATTTCCAAAAGGAAGGATTCTATCTAATCTAATTAGTCAAAATCTTCTTAATTTTTATTTATTTTTCAACTAAACCAAGATTTAATTTCTACTATTAATTTAGGAGATTGTTTTCCTTATTATTCACATGACCTATAATAAAACGAAGTCATCAATTCACAGTTGTATTCGTTCAAGTTTGAAAATAATAAAATTATAAAATTTTAGTTTTCGTTAACCTTCTTGTTGAGTAAAAATTGATTTAACTTATCAAGATAAGTTCTTATGGCGTTTTATCAATCTCTTTTGTATTGATTTTAACTTATTAAGCTTACATCTTGTGGCGCTTAATCAATTCAAATCACCATCTCAATTACCTTGATTGACATTCACGTGTTGAAGATAGGTCAAATAGAGAGGATTTGTTGAGAATTTAAACATTCTGAACACTAGAGTATATGTGGAGTTTTTAATCACATTAGTTAATTATGGGTTTCGCATTTGATATCAGAGCTCAAACTCGAAATAAATCTTACTATTATGCATATTTTATCCTTACATATTTATTATTCTTCGTAGTAAAAAAAACCTATACTTTGCATCCGCTCATATATATATAAGAAAAAATCATATCCATATTGTTCTTCTTGCAATCTATGTTTCCTTCTTTCGTTGTACTTTTGTTCCAATACATCTCCTAGTAGCTAATTGTACTGCAGTTACTTAGTGTCATACATAAAACACACACTATTTTCATCCGTGTGTTTGAACTGTTATTTTTAGAACTGTTTTACCATTTTCTTTCTCTAGCATTCCTTGAGGTGTTGTAAACAAAACTTATCTTGATTTAAAGAAATTCAATTCTGATATTCAACTTGAAGGAAAGAGATTGAGTGAAACACGTGAGAGAGTGTTATTTTCTTTACTAACCATTTCTTACAGATTTTAGCAATGACTTTATACAACATTCCATATGATGACATTTTTTGGAAAAAAACAGGATTTGTGAAACTCCAACATAAGAAGTGTCTAATTCGAGAATGAATCATTTTTAAAGAATGAGAGGATGATATGAGCATGGACATGAATCATAAAGAGAATGCTCAATCCAAAGGAAGAAGAGAACAAGCCCAACAATCTAAGGACCTAATGATACTTACATCTCAATACAAGTGGAAGAGGGACTCAAGCTAAAAAAAAAGGAAACTTTTAAAAAACCAAATCTTAGCTGAAAACGAAAGATTATGGCCAACCCTAAACTTCCATTTTTTTTCTCCCTAATTTTTCTACAATCAATTAAAATCTACTCCATTAAAAAGTTTCTAAAAGGAAATATCTTATCTACCCTAATTAATAAAAATCTTCTAAATTTTTATTAATTTTTCAATTAAACTAAGATTTAATTTCTACAATTAATATAAGAAATTGTTTTTCTTATTATTTACATGACTTACACTATAAATAGGTTATCAATTCACAATTGTATTCATTCAAGTTTGAGAATAATAAAATTATAAAGTTTTAGTTTTCAACTAGTGAGGTTTTCGTCAACTTTCTCGTTGAATGAGAATTGATTCAATTTATCAATATAAGTTTTTGTGGCATTTTATCCATCTCTCTTGGATTGATCTTAACTTATCAAGGTTTCATCTTATGGTATTTAATCAATTAAAATCACCATTCCAATTACCTTGGTTGACATCTACGTGTTGAATGCAAGTTAAGCAAGAAGGGTTTGTTGAAAGTTTAAAGATTTTGAACACTAGAGTATATGTGGAGTTTTTTATCACGTTACTTGATCATGGATTTCGCATCATCAATGATCCTATGGAGAGAAAAATTCTCAAAAATTTTTCTATTTCTTCTTAAATGACCCAAAAAGTAGGTAAAAGAATAAGAAAAAAATACTTTTTTTAGAAAAAATTCTCAAAAACTTTTCCATTTCTTTCCAAGTAACCCAAAGAGTGGGTGAACGAATAAGAGCAAAAAACCTTTTTTGGACCTCGCAACAAGAAAGCAACTCTAAGCCCAAAACTCATTCTTCAGAGGCTCACTAACCACTCATATAAGGATCATCAAGCTGACAGCATAGTCCCAAAGTCTTCTAGATTGCACCAACGAAGTAGATGACTGAGACATTCACATTCTCTTGCATAAACGCATCTTTTAGCCATATGTCTACATCTCTTCATAAAAATGTCGATGATGAGAATTCTTTCCCAAGTGAGTTAACATACTGAGAAAAGAATTGTACGAGAAGAAGCTTTCATTTTACATTTCTACTTCCAAGGAAAGGGATTCAAAACCTTATCATGGATTCGATAGTGCCTATAGAAAGATTTGACAGAATTTATCTTCCTTGTTCAACTACCAAACTAGTATTTCGCCCTTAAAAAGACTCACATACACCTTATCCAAAGATGAGAGAAAAACTCTCTATTCATCAATTTCCCGAATTACTAAGGTTTCCAAGGAGGCAACATTCCAACATATATCACCACTATACAATTCAAAACAATCATCAACCTTCACCTCATTGACCCTTGTGATAGAGAAAATGGCAAGAAAAGACTTCTTCAAAGACAATCATCCCATTAAGAGTCCTTTTAAAAGAGGATATCACTCACTATTCCCACATAACAAAAAGAGATCCCTAATAATGTTCTAGTTCTCCTGATCATTTTCCATGGATTTGCCCCACCTAGCGCTTTAGTAATTCACCCTCCTTCCACATAACCAAAAGGTTAGACAAAGGAATACAAAATTTTATGACCTCTACAAGCATCTAGTCCTTGAACCAGCATTCACTTGTCACCAAACACCCAATATCCGACTTAAGATTTTACGAAATCAAATCTAGTACACCACAACAAAAACCAAAGGACACACCACACAAGCAAGAAATAGGACTCTCTCCCGCCTATTTGTACAAGTAGAACCATTAACAAGAAAACCTTATCTTTCGAAGATTTATCATTTATAAGAATCCTTTCCCAAGAGATTTTTTTTCTCACTATAGCTTGTCCAACTAGGAGGATTTCTTAGCCTCCATTTTTGTACCTATTTTCCATCTTATCTCAATAAAACTTCTTCTTTTATCCAAAAAGAATCCTTTCCAAAGTTGTTGCCATGCAACTTCTTACGAGCAAGGGACTCAACATCAAGGCTATATAAAAATGACCCAAGACTAAAAATCCTTGTACCACCTATTTTCCATACCAGATGATCATTTTGCAAGTAGCCACACACTCAATAAGGTTACCATAGCTTTCCATCTTGCAGCCATTAACATTTCAATATTATCAATATCCCATAGTTTGATCAGACCTCATCGAGTCTCCTTGCATATTTTATTTATATTGAGAAGAAATACCACTTGCATCTAGCAACACTAAAGAGATTTGGGGAAAAGCACAAAGAGGAGCATGCGCATACTGTTATGGTCAATAGCATAACAAAAGAAGAAAAGCAAAAAAGAAGGCTCACAAACCAAAGCAGGAAAGCATGGTGGTGTTTCTTCTTTTTTGAGTTAGTGTAGGGTTTCTGTTTTAGAAGTTGTAGAAAGCCGACTTATACAAGAATAAAATAAAATAGGAAATCTAGTTGTAAAAGGAATAAATAGATACTTTAAATTTTTTAAGAAGAAGAGAATTAAGTAAACAGCCTTCCTTAAGATCTAACTGGAATGGGAATCAATCAGCTTTTACAGTTTTTTCAAAGAAAAAGAGAGTGAGTAAGCAGCCTTCCTTAGGGTATCTGGAAATAGGTATTATGGTTTTTCATATTAATAAGTTCTTTCATCACTAAAGATCAAAGAATAATTTATCAAAAAGAGGTTTTAGAGTACCCAATAGAAGGGTTCACTCCAAGAAGTCCCAATCATAGGACGTAAAAGCCAAAAATCAAATAAGCTTCAGGCTTGCTGCAAGGTTCGACGATAAGACAACCCATCGCAGTCATGGTTGGTAAAAACCTTAGAACAACAATTTGAGACTTTCCTCAAGCTCTAGCAAGAGAATTGTTTCACATGGAAAATAGACAGCATAAATTAAAGGTGCAGATCAAGAGCCCCTACAAGGAGCTCTCAGCAGACAAAGCAAAAGAGAATAGCACCATTGATGTAAGCAGCAATCATCGAGGGATGTACAACACCTAGGGACCAATTATGCCACAGATGGAATGAGCTTCTTCTGCAAGTTACAAAACTGGATTTCCCATGGTTTGAAGGGAATATGGACCCTTTTGGTTGGTTGAATTAATGCGAGCATTTCTTTCAACATCAGCAGACAGCTGATGAGGAGAAGGAGGGACTTTATTTGTTTCAGTTAGAAGGTGACGCCCAGCTTCAGTTCCTTAAATTTCAACATGAACAGGATAAGTTGGGAAGATTTTAAATATTAATGCAACTCGCATCATGTTTCTACAGTGTGTAACAGCAAACTAGGCAAGTTGGTGAAGCTTCACCAAACCAGCACTTTGGACAACTACCAGCAGTGGTTTTGAATAGCTTGCTGCTATTGATTCTTCCCTCACTTTAGAGTTAAAAGCTAGAAATTTCTTTCAGCAGCTTACAGGAGTACATTGTAGTTAAATTTGAGCTCCAATACCCTATAGATCTAACTATTGGCAAGAATTTACGAATGGCAAGGTGAAGCTTACACTCTCCCAAAGAACATTCCAAGTAGTTGGTCAAGGCCACCATTAGTTAAACAATTGAGGTAGAGTTGGATGAGGGACATCTAAAAGGGTTGCATTATGATTGTCATCAAAGCTTTGTCCTGCAACACTGGTGTAAAAAATATTTTAGTTTGAGCCAGTCCGTGAAAATGACATGGAGCCAGAGGTGACCCAAGATAGATGATCATTATCACATAATGTTATGGTCAATAACCCACGAGGAAGAAAAGTACAAAGAAGGGGCCCCACAAACCAGAAGCAGAAAGGCATAGTGACATTAGAGCTCTTTGTTATTTCGGTTTCTGGTTCTGTTTTAAGAGTTGTTTAGGAATAAAATAAAATAGGAAGTTGAGCTTTGTAGGAATAGGATAATACAAATCTAGTTAGAATAGGAATCAGTTAGTCCTTAGAATATTGGAAATCAGTATCAAGAAGACTATGCTTAATCCTCCAGGGACACTCTCAAGTCTCCAGCATGAATAATGAAAGTTGAGAGCTCATGATCATTAAGCACCATATTGAAATCATCTGAACCCAAGGACGATCAACAAAAGCTTGACAGAATCCAGATAACTCCATAGAAGCCTCCTATTACTAAACAATAAACACTAAAAAAGTCCAGCACAACTCAGAAATTTTGTTCTCACTTCAGCACAACTCAGAAGTCTTTTTCTTAAGAATAGAAAGAGGTCTCCCAAACTAGAGATCCACTAACTGAAACTTACTCTTGCTCCACATAATGAGGATCCCTCCCCTTCCACCATACCTCCTCCCCAAGCTCCCCATAGAATGGCTTGGCTTTCAACCCCAAATCCTTCCCCTTTAGAACATCATAAAATTTGTAAAAGATGAAAGGCAGCCAAAGGAATAATATTATTTTTAAAAATTGAGAAAATTAATTCTCTCTTTCAATAAAGAGAGATTGGTCAATTAACAAATATAAAATAAAAAATAGATTCCGTTTGGCACATGAAAACAGTTTATAATTTTTATTTTCTAAATTTCTAGATGTTTATACATAAACGTACATATGGTGCTATGTGCATGTGTGGTCTTAAAGTATAAATGTAAACAATTTTTTTACAGAACATTAAAGACAACCTCTTTTTTCTTTTTTCTCAACTTGTGCTATTTTTAACTTTCATTTTCCAATTTTCCACACCACAAATGTTTTATAAATTTGTGGTATTTGCAATTACCACAAATTTTTGCATAAATACTTATATGCATTTAGAAGCTAAAAGCTAAAAAATATTTTCTTTTAACAAATGGAGCCTTCATTTCATTAGCAAAACCAAGAGGAGACAAACTGTTAATCTAACATCACCTCTCGTGCTGCCTTTGTGTCCTTTATGACATTCATCACATTAGGAGCATCAAGAACCTCCCTCAAACTATGCCTGTGTATCAAAATTGACATTACAGGATAATGAGAAACATGTAAACATGTATCTATTTATGTCAAAAAAAAAAAGAGAAGCATGTATCTATGAATAGCAGCATGAAACTCAATATATCAAGCAAAAAAGTAACAATCCAAAGGTCATGTTAGCAATTCGGTCTAATCCAACTGGGGAGACAAAATGCCAATAGGCAGATCATCTTTCGAAATGTTTGTCCAGATGATAACATGAGATACCCAAATGGGAAACGCAACAGAAAACCTATAATACAAATGCAAACACATTTCTGATAACTCAGGCTTAATATGATCAACCAGGGCTTGTGAGAATACATTCAAAAATCTAAATTGTGAAGTTATAAGAGTTTCAAGATGGAAACTTAATCAGTATTAGAGTTTCAAGATGGAAACTTAATCAGTATTAATCAATCTCAACAACTTAATAAACATATTGATTTTGACTAAAGATTTTATATAGCATAAGTATAGTATAATTGGAAAAGTTAGAAATTGAAAAGGTTCATATGCTTATTCTTTAACAAGAGGACAATGGGGAAATAAGGCCAAAATCTACCATGACACGGTTGGCAAGACCAGATATCGAGCATGTGGTGATGCATAAATATATGTATACATATATATATTATAGGAAAAGAAAACATTATTAAGTGTTGGAAGTTGTTTACTTCCTGCTTATAAGTAACTTTTAGCACTCAACTCTAATTTTCATGTCTAGTAACATAAAAAACTGGGTGCTTATTAGATTAATAGAAGTGCTTTAAGAAGCTAGAAAATAAGCACCATATTCTAACCTTTTAGGTTCTTTTTCTTATACCAATAAAAAAAGAAGTATTAGGAAAGACAAAAGAGTGTGAAATACAGTGATGGAAGATAAAATATCCTCCAAAAGCCCTCTAAAAGAAAAGCCCCAGCATGCAATTAATATGTTATTGCCTCCCAACTCCTATGCAACACTGATATAGGCATATCAAAGGTTCCCCATGAGCCATTACATGACGAGGCTAGAAATGTCATCCTATTCCACAAAACTTGGATGTGATATGATCCTAAAAAATTCTTCGATTTTGCATGACTTTATTGTCGCTCCTACCAAAGAGGTTTAGCAACTTTTCTCACCCTCTCTCCATTGAAGATTCAAGCCCATTAAAGACTCCAAAAGAGGAAGCACCCAAGTCAAACCAACTGTATCGAACAACCTTGTCCATTGCTTTCATGCTACTTCGCACAGGAGGAATAAATTATTAGGTCTCCTTTTTCCTACGATACAAAAAATGTCCAGTGAAAGAGATCGACCATGATTGCAAATTTGCAACAATTTATTAGTATTGAGCCTATTTAGAATAGTAGTCCACCAATAGACCTTCACCTTTTAAGGGAGTTTAGCTTTCCAAAATACATTGGCAAAAGGAAGGTGATAGCTAGTTGGGTCTCGGGTTATGTGGTCAAAGAAATATCTGCAAATATAGGATCCTGAGGGTTGTAAGATCTGAATCCTGCTATTATGCTGCTGAGAATAATAGAAAGTTTCTAACACGTTAACAAGGGTTTAACATTGATTAATCTCCCAAACACTTAGAGTTTTATGAAGAAATAAAGGTTTCAGGAAACAATAATGTTTGTGTGAGATCCAAAGTGGGTAATTGGTGCATTATGAAGTGATTATATATTATACAAGTGAAGGAAGTGACTGTGCTATCGCCGAGCCAAACTCTCCCAGAACAAGACTCAATTAGCAATCTCCCACTTTAAGCTAGGTAAGAGGAATGTATAAGTTCTTGCTTTTAAATCTAACTACTTTACTTAATTATTTGCCTATTTATACTTCTTTTTATATTAAAAAAAGGTATCATTTTACGATTAATGATATATATATTAATACAAGTCATAACATACTTTTAATAAATATTAATTTTATTATTTTTTAAAGAAATAAATTTTACTTCTTCCAATCAACACTTTATCTAAATACATAAATGTTTATTTTTTGAAATACAAATTTACTTGCTTTAACTAACTGATAGCATATGGCCATAATAGGAATTTCTTTATTGTTGGATTATCTTTTAGCTTATTATTTAAGAGTTATTAGAGTTAAGAGTTTATTCTTATTAGTTTTATTTTTTATTTGTATTAGAATTAATATTCTTAATTTTACTAATTTAGTATTTCCTAATTTAATTCTAGTTAGGAAGAGATTATCAAATAATTTTGTAATTTCACTTATTAAACATTCAAGTATTCAATAATATTTTTGAGAATTTTTAGTAATTTATTGTGTGACTCAATCAAATTTAAAGTCATGCTTACGAATTCTAGGTGTGATATCTAGATTTTTCCCAAATTCTTAGTAGGCAAATTAACTCTAATTTGTCATACATGAATTTCCGAGGTAAAAGTATCTTGTACTTTATGAAACCCTACGCACAACAATGCTAAACCCATTTGGAAAAAAAAACAAAATCAAAAAACTCTAAAACAACCATGTAACACCCAACATTTGTTTTTATTTTTATTTTTATTTTTATTTTTACTATTTTTTAATATAATTATTTATTTATTTTATTTTAATTTAATGAAAAAATGGGTAAAATTTTATTAAGAATTAAATTGAAAATAATTTTAAAAAAAAATGGTGAAAATTTGGGTTCTAAGGGTATTTTTCGAAAAAAAAATCGGAAACCGCAAGTCAAAACGCAATTTAACAAAAATTGCGCCACGTCAGACGCTCGGTCAGCAACCCCGACCAAGCAGAACGCGTCAAGTGGCAAAGGTGCTGATGCGGGAGGCCACATGGGCGATCCGCATGCGCGCGATCGAACGGCTGAGGTCCGTTCCCACGCGCACGGACGGCCCAGATTGAATCACGCACGGACGGCATACATTGAATCGCGATGAACAGCCCAGATTCACTCCCTATTTAATCGCGATGGGACGGTACATATCAAAAGCGATTGACGGCCCAGGTCAAAAGCGGATGGATATAAATAAACTCATCCGCACCCAAACCCTAACCCTAGCTGCCAGAACCCCTCGCCGGAGAAGACAACCCAACTGCCGGGGAGCCGACCGCCGCCACCCGCGGCCGCACCGGAACCTTTCCCGACCGCCAAAAAAGGTAAAAATTTTTCCTTTTGCACGAAATTCAATTTTAAATCCACCCATGGCCAAATCTGAGTGAAATAATCGGCCAATTGGCCGGAAAACGCCGCTGAAACCCGACAGCGCCGCCGCGGAAAATTTCACAGACCGCCTCCGATGAGGCCCTTCCTGATTCCCGTTTCGTGTAATTTTTCCATCGTTGTGATCACCGTTTTCCTCTCTACAGGTTGACTGAAGCGAAACACCCAACCACAATGTGAGCCGGAGGAGCTGCTGTATCGGAGAGCCCCGCTCCCGGTGAGTTTCGGTTTTTCGTATTTTTTCGACCCATCGAGGCCCTTTAGCGTGTGTACTCGCAGGAATCGATGTAAAATCGATCGAATTCGGCCGAAAACGATCAACCTGAGACGGACCGATGCCGTGGGCGGCGGCACCGTCGTTGGAGCACCTAGCCTATTTCGATTGCTTCTTACCGCATAAGCTGCGTTGAGATGGAGGAACTGAGAAAACAGATCACTGAATTGTAGGACAGTGGTTTTATCAGACATAGTGTGTTCCCTTAGGGTGCCGGGGTCACTTTTGCTAGAAAGGGAGATGGAACGTTGAGGCTATGTATTGATTACAGAGGATTGAACAGAGTCACAATCAAGAACAAGTATCCCCTTCCCATGATTGATGACTTCTTCGATCAGTTGCAGGGTGCGCAGGTCTTCTCCAAAATAGACTTGCGTTCAAGTTACCATCAGGTGAAAATCAAGGCAGAAGACATCCTCAAGACATCTTTTCGAAATAGGTACGGACACTATGAGTTCCTGGTCATGCCATTTGGACTAACCAATGCCCCAGCCATTTTCATGGATCTAATGAACAGGGTCTTCAGACAATTCTTGAATCAATTTGTTATCGTGTTCATCGATGACATCCTGCTTTATTCAAAAAGCAAAGAGGAACATGCTCACCATCTAGCTCAGGTTTTGCAGGTTCTCAGAGGAAAGAAACTGTATGCAAAGTTGAGTAAGTGTGGATTTTGACTTGAGCAGACCACCTTCCTAGAACACATCATATCAAATGATGGAGTATCAGTCAACCCTTAAAAGGTTGAAGCGGTGCTCGGCTGGGAGAAATTGGCATCAGTTAAAGAGATCCGTAACTTTCTGGGAATGGTAGGCTATTACCGCAAGTTCGTTGAAGGATTTTCTAGTCTAGCTGCTCCCTAACCCGACTCACAAAGAAGAATGTCAAGTTTGAGTGAATGAGGACTGTAAAAGAAATTTTTAAAACTAAAGAAGCGGCTGACTACTGCACCT